GCACCCCTCACAAGCGCCGTCCTCAACCACCCACTCGGAGTGCTTATAAATACCCCTCATTTAGTCATTTTCCACTTTATTCTCAAGTAACTTATCTTTGAAACTTTGAAACCGTTATTTCTCCATCTTCACGAATTGAAAAATGAAAGCCCTTTCAGTCAATTTTACGAGAAATCAAGGTAATATTTAAGTTACCCGTGGTCGAATTGCTACTTTTCTGCCTCGATTCACGTTAATTTCACATGCATTAACTTAAGATTAAAAATTTTTAATTGCAAAAATTCACTGTTCATAGAATTTTGAGAAATTTTATGAATCTTACTTTCCTGTGAATCTAACTTTTTTTTTCTTTATTTTCTTTATTATTTGTTAATTTTAATATGATTACGCAGGTTTGAGTGTGTTCTGTATTTTCCTTATTTTAATAAATCTGTCAGAGAAAAATCCCTATGCTATTGTCAAAATTCAACCATAAATTCAATCAGAGATCCAATGAATGATAATGTGATGAGGGATTTTAGAAAGTTGGAAAGAAAATCAAGAAAATAGTGAATTAAATTTTATTCACTGACGGAAGGAAAGTTGTGGAGATCAAATCAGGAAGAGAACTTGTAGAGCCATCACCTTTAAAATCTTATTACATTAGGATGAAGGTTTTGGTGGAAACTGAGAATTGAGCCGAGTTGAGGAAGTTGAAAGCCACTGAATTCAAGAAGTTCATCCCCATTTTTTTAGATGAGTACCTTATATTTAAATACACATATTAAACTAATCGGAGGTACCCGCGGACGATTGGGAGCTGAGTTATACAAGGTTTAAAGCATTTTGGGAAAGGAATTGGAAAAAGAGTTTGGGAGAGCAGAAAATGGCTCGTTTTAGGATGAAGGCCTACAAGATTGAGATTGATAGAAAGATAGTTTAAGAGGCCGTTGATGTTTTCATGAATAATAACAAATTCAATCGATATGCCTTTGCACTAGGAAGACATCGGCTAACTATGAACTCACTAAAGTGGTGAGGATCGTCTATGAGCGTAGCTTCACTATAGACCATACTCAAGGCCTGCTCAAGGCGTGGATTAATGAGCGAGGCCTTGCCAACTTGATAATCAACCCAACAGAGCCTGTATATATCTTGCTGGTGAGGGGAGTTCTACACTAATTTGGTTGAGGCAGACTACCCCAAGAATTTATATGTTAGGGGCAAATGGGTCAATGCCTCTGCAAAGAAGATTAACCAGCTCCTTGGCTGGTCCTTTCGCCATTCAAATGAGGAGATGAAGGCTAAGGATTGCAAATCCATTTGAGCTGGACTTGTCGTACAACATTGTGGCCACCCACCCAAACTATGACAAGAGAAATTTGAAACTCAGCTTAGTGAATGAGAAAAAGAAAGAATGGGTGAAGTGGTTACTTAGCAGGATAATGAATTAATGATCACATCCCACACTCCATCCATCAGGCCAAATTTTATGGCAGCATTGTACTCCATTCTCGAAGAAAAAACTAATGTGGATTTGGGCCATATAATATGCTTTGATGTATGCTCTTGCACGACCTTTGACAATAAAGTAAGTCATGGGACCTTGATTATGGAGTTAGGCAAGGAGGCCGGAGTTGATATTTTTACTCCAACCGCTGCAACCGGTAGCCTTTCAGAAATAGTGGCTGGAGGCTATAGGATTTGGCCCAATCTTGAAGAAAATGAGTAGGGGGAAACTGTTGTGGGCCAGCCCCCCACCCCACCCCCTAAGAAAAAATTAAAGGTTCTAAGGACAAGTTGGTCTCCTTCCCAATGGAAGAAGCCACCGGTTATGCTAATTCAGAGGAAACGGTCTCCGATGAAACCCCAGAGGATGAAAGGGATGTATTTAAATTCCTTGCTCATAAGGCAGAGGAGCCTACAAAGAAGGCAATGACAAAAGCAAATAGCCTAGCCAAAAATCCAACGAGGAAGAAGAAGGGCAAGGGCAAGGTTAAAAAGAAAGATATTGATACAGTCCCGTTGTCTCGCTTGGAGAAGGGAATTTCGATTCAAGATCCCATTGTCCAGCCAGGAAGACCTTCACCAGTGGAGCAAGCGCCGACCAGCCAGTCAAAGAGCCCTAACAAGTCAGTCCAATCGGTGATGAAATCATTCTCGTTAACCAGCAAGGAATGGATAAGCCAACTAATACTGGAGTAAAAGAGGAGCAAAAGATAGTATTTTTAATGGGATCAACGTATCAATTGAGCACTATGATGAGTGTCCTACTGGAGCCTCCGAGGAGGTCCCTGATGCCACAACCGCTAAATATGTCGATGAAACCGCTAGAATTAAGATAGTGATAACAAGTTTGTTCATCTTGCAAGTGTCTCTCTTGTCCTAGAAATAGGAGAACTAGTTTCAATTTTAGGTGACTCCTTATGTTAAAACCAAAATTAAAATAATAAATTTTTTCTTCTAAAATGTAAGATTTCATTCAACTTCTCTGTATTATACTACTCATCTCTTATGGTAGAATAATCGAGCTTTTAAAAAATGGTCGAATCGGTCATTGCTCTGTCATTCGGCCTTCACTCTATACAAATGAGAAAGCAATATCTTCACAGTTCAACAATCGGCTTTTGTCTTTTCTGAACAGTATCAAATCGGTCACTATTAGTGTTATACATATCGTCTACGACTTTCCTGTGCAAAACAACTAATTTGTTATTAATCAAATCAACCGATTGATAGTTCATCCCTCTTCACCTCCTCATCTTGCTAATCCAAAATCAGCTCTATACAACGCGGATCCAACCCGACATAGCGCGCATCGGAGTCCTAGTACTAATATATGTACTAATATATATATATATATATATATATACTAACAGCAACTAAGTCGGTCAAGAAAATAATTGAGGCTATAATGTATACATAAATTGCATGAAAAGGGATGGATGGTTCAGTATCTCATCTATAATTGGTTGAAAGCTCCATTCAATGCACCACTTCCCCGTACAGCTTTAATACATACATACGACCTACTATATTTAATCATGTAACAACTATTTCACAATCGAACTGTGTTTATGTAGAGTGAGGAATTAATTTGTACAGCAAATTAATATTTATGTTCATATAGTTAAATTTATAATTTCTTTGGCCTTGTGTATTTATTTATTTAAAGAAATATATAACCATACAAGTTGGGATGTTTTGAATCTGACAAACCTTGAAAGCTACATTTGTCCAACACATGTGATGTGGGGTAGCCTAATGTTGTGAAGCTATTAATCATTTTGGGTGTATAATTTAGTGATTTTTTATTTTGTTTTCTAAAAATAATTTTAATGTTTAATTTGAAAGTAATTCTTTTTTTTTTTTTTTTTTACCTTTTATTGCTATTATAACATTAACTATTTACTGAATAATACTCTCTCAGTTCCAAACACTCTGCAATATTTTTTTTGGTATGTTCCAAACACTCTGCAATATTTTGTTTTGGTATGTGTCAAACACTCTGCAATATTTCTTTCTCCATCGTATCACATAATTTCTAAATTATCCTACTTAATACTACTAACCTAAAAACACGTGTCAAAATCAAATATTGCATCTTTATTTAGGACAGAGGAAGTATATCATTACAAACTGTAAAATCAAAATTTTCTCGGCAGTACAAAATATAATTAAATGTATACTTTGTATTAAATAGACTATTTATTTAAAAAATATATAAATTAAATAATGAATATATATTTTGAAATATGCCTCTAATTTTTATTTTAAATACTATGTTAATAATACATATTTTAAAATTTCGGTTCTTATAAAAAAATTGAACAAGAAGTTACTTTTATTTCATAGTGGGAAACAATTCTCAATAATTGAAAGGAGGATGGTGACCCAAAAAAGCGATGGGATACGTGTTTGTAAATATATATAAAGTTAGATTAATAATGATATTTGTTTATTTATTTATTTATTTGTAATCATAAGAATTGCATTAATTTGAACGTTAGAAATAATTTACTTGAGGTGTCAACCTCCCATCCCAGTATGTCTCTTCCCTAACTTTTTTTTTTTTTGTGTAAATTCAATCTTTTTATTCTGATTCGTCCAGGATATTATGTCATTTCAAGCATAATTATTTTTTCCATTCCGGTGTAAAATTGTTGTTCACTTTTTGTATGTAAATTTTTTAATATTAATATTATAATGGATTGTAGTGAAAAAGAAAAAAAATACCCTTTAGTATTATGTAATATAAAAATAATGACATTTGTGTAATATAGTGTAAGTTAGAAGAGTATTTATTATATTAGCAACGTAGTACCATTACTAAATTTAAAGATTGTAATGTTGTTTTAGGACGGATAAAAATAAAAAATAATATGAGGAAGTATATATTTTAAATTTTATAATTTATAATTTTTAAATTTTAATTTTAATTAAATTATTTAATTATTTATATTATATTATAATTATTTTTAATAATATATTTTTTAAATTATTTATTAATTATATAATATTTATAACAACGTGTCCAATTAAAATAGACAAATTACCGGAGGACTATCTTTAAAAAATGAGGACCCCCCTTTCTCTCATTATAATTAGTATTTTTAATGCTGTTAAAGAATTATAAAACCCCAAACTAGACAGTTTCCCTGAAAATAAAAATAAAAATAAAAATAAAAATGTATACAAAACTGACTGTGTTATGATCAAAGTGCATAGATTTTACACATATATATATATATATATAATACTTTCTTTCTATCATTCAAATTTATTATTATTATTATTATTTCTTTTTTATCTAAATTTATTCCAATTTTTTTTTTTTAAATAAAAATTACTATTTTTCTATTTTTTTTTAACCCAAAGAAGTAAAACATTTTATTTTATGTATTAAATATACAATTGCGTAGAATAATTATAATAATAATAATAATAGTAATAATACTTTGATATTATTATGTTCATTCATCATTTCAAGTGTTGTTTATCTTCTTCACTTAATAATTGTTCACTTCTTCTCTTCCATTTCCAAATAGCAATAATGGTGCTGCTTCTGTTGCCTTCCTCTTGAAAATTTTCAGTTATGCTATAATTGACAAGAAGCTGTGTGCGTCGGGTGAGTCAGGCAATCAGTATCCTCCTGCTCCTCCTCCTCCTCCTTCCACATTTCCGTTTCCATTTATTACTACCACTCCACTTGCACAATAATAGTAATAACTCTTCCATAGTTTCTTCTTCTTTCTCATACCCCAAAATGAAAATGAAAATGAAAATGGAAGCTGCTGCTGCCTTCTCATCAGCTTCAAAATGTGCCTTCTTCATCTTCTGCATTCTCTTCTTCAATCTATCCTCCTCCATCCATTTTGTCCACTGCACTGTCACTTACGATAGCAGAGCTCTCGTCATCAACGGCCACAGAAGGATCCTCTTCTCCGGTTCCATTCATTACCCAAGAAGTACCCCTGATGTATGAATCATGTGATGTATTCTTCTAGTATTTCTTACTACACTCCCCAAATCAATCAGTTACTTCTTCAACATTATGCTATGCAGATTTGATTGAGTACTTTTGGAAATGCAGATGTGGGCCGAGCTCATACAAAAGGCAAAGGAAGGGGGATTAGACGCAATAGACACTTATGTATTTTGGAACCTCCATGAACCCTCCCCTGGAACTGTCTGTATTACTCTTCTAGTCTAATCGATTCTTTTGCAGAGTCGGGGTCAGAGTCATGTTTTCGGATTTCTGATTTTTGTTTTCTCACTCCTCAGTACAATTTCGAGGGAAACTGTGACCTAATTAGGTTCGTCAAATTAGTCCAACAAGCAGGGATGTACCTCCATCTCCGCCTTGGCCCTTACGTCTGTGCAGAATGGAATTTTGGGTACTGTCAGGTTTTTCTACAAGGAAATAATAATCATTTTGTAGTTTCGAACTCGTTTTGGTTCCTGATCTGTGCTTCATTCCTAATTACAGAGGATTTCCTGTTTGGTTGAAGTACGTTCCAGGCATTAGTTTCAGAACTGACAATGGACCTTTCAAGGTGTGTGTTTGTTACTAGTGTCGTCTTTTTGTTAGCATACAATACAAAGAAGAGATGGTATTGAGTTGAAATTTGGGTTTTGGTTGGGTTGGATGTATGGTGTTGAAGATGGCGATGCAGAGATTTACTGAGAAAATTGTTGGAATGATGAAGAGTGAGAGGCTGTTTCAATCTCAGGGAGGCCCTATTATTCTTTCCCAGGCAAGTTGAGTTGATCTTTCCTTCTTTTGTAAGATACTGCATTACACATTAATTAAGTATTTGTGTGTGTGTGGGTGTGTTTGTCGGCTTACTTACATTCTTTTCCAAAATTTTGTTGATCTTGTTTGTAATTGTAAATTGTAATTGTAATTGTAAGACAGCTAAACTACTTTACTTTACTTAAAAGCTTCATATGATATGCCACAGCTTAATTTCCAGTTGAATGACTGTATGAGTATGAGATGATTCATATTTGATGGCAATGTATATTATTACTGCAATGTATTGTAGATTGAAAACGAGTACGGTCTCGAGAGCAAGAATTTTGGGGCTGCTGGTCATGCATACATGTCTTGGGCGGCAAAATTGGCTGTCGGGTTGGAGACTGGTGTGCCATGGGTTATGTGCAAAGAAGACGACGCACCAGATCCAGTGGTAATGCTTGCATATTAATTTCCTGTATCATAATACAATATATATATATATATACATATATAGAGCTTTTTATCGTCGTGTTAAGTAGTTGAATATTATTATTGAATCTTAAGTCTCAACATCATTCCAAAATTGCTTCGAGCAAAAGTAAACTAAACTAAGTTGAGTGTAATTATTTCATAGAAGGCTATCTATCATTTCTTGAACTTTTTTAACAGATCAACACATGCAATGGATTTTACTGTGATTATTTCTCCCCAAACAAGCCGTACAAGCCCACAATGTGGACAGAGGCTTGGACCGGATGGTATTCTTCCCTGTTATTTACCACATTCAATATTTCAGTCATCGGTAACCATTTAAGAATCATCATTCTTTTCGTCAAGGTTTGAAGAGTATGGAGAGCCAGTTCATCATCGCCCTGTTGAGGATTTGGCATTTGCAGTTGCACGATTCATCCAAAAAGGGGGCTCCTTTGTAAACTACTATATGGTCAGAAAATGTACCTTCTGTTTCTTGATATTATAGTTCTAGACATTTCTTTTTAATTATTCAACCATTTTAATCAGTATCATGGAGGAACTAATTTTGGTAGAACTGCCGGAGGGCCGTTTATCACTACAAGCTATGATTACGATGCTCCTATCGATGAATATGGTATTAAAGGAACTCCTGTTGACTGACTTGTTTTATATTATGACTTCTTTGTAACTATTTATTTTATTGTCACATTGGTAGGCTTACTTAGACAACCAAAGTACGACCATCTAAAGGAAATGCATAAGGCGATAAAGTTATCTGAGCAAGCTCTGCTAAATGGAGATCATACTATTAAGGCTTTGGGTAACTATGAGCAGGTGAATTGTATTGAAAGTGTCTACATTAGCTAATATAATCCCCAGTTCTTTTATGGGAATGGCTCACCTATATATATATATATATACATATTTATATATGTATGTATGTATCATATTTCCAGGCTCATGTATATTCTTCCAAGTCCGGTGATCAATGTGCAGCCTTCTTGTCGAATTTCCACTGGGACACGCACGCGCAGGTGTCATTCAATAATCGGAAATATGATCTGCCTCCCTGGTCAATCAGCATCCTCCCTGACTGCAAGAATGTTGTTTTCAACACTGCTACGGTCAGTGACATCATATCTATTGATCCATGGTCATGGCTCAGCGTTTGAAGTTATGTTCCATGATTAAGATTGAAAGATGTTTTTAATTATGAAAATATATATTTTTCTATCAGCTGGATTGGATTAATCACAAATATTTCAACTGGATGTGATTATAATGTAATCAGATGGAAGTTTTGGAAATAATTCATTATTCATTTTACGCAGTGAATTGGTTACTTTATCCAGGTTAGATCCCCAGCATCATGGGCCCAAATGCTGCCGACGAATGCCAGAATGCTTTCATGGGAGACATACAGCGAAGATGTTTCTGCAAACAATGATAAGAGGTTTGCAGTCTTGGGTCTTTTGGAGCAGTTGAATGTCACTAGGGACACAAGTGACTACTTATGGTACACAACGAGGTATGGATGGATAGGAATGAATCTATCTGAAGTAGTCAGTCACTGTGTGAACATGTTTCCATACTCTTTCTAAACTAATGTTAAAAGGGATGTTTTGCAGTGTTACAATAAGCCCATCTGAATCGTTTCTACACGGAGGGAAGTGGCCAGATCTGACTGTCGATTCCGAAGGCCATGCCTTGCACATGTTTGTGAATGGGCAGCTGTTGGGTACTCTTTCTTGAATTCTGTAGTGACTTTTATTGAGAATGGTGTGCTGATATATCACTTGAAAATATTTGAGAACAAGATTCATTGGAACCAAAAAAATATACACAGATTCATTTACCACAATTTTAAGTGTATAATACACGAGGGTTGCATTCAGTAACTAGTAAGCATGTATGCCGATAGCTAGAATACCCAACTTCACTTTTAGAGAATCATAATCGTGTATGTTTAAAAGTTTGGTTCTGAATTAATTCTAATGAAACAGGATCGGCATTTGGGACTCGAGAAAATAGAAGATTCTCACTTACACGAGCTGTCAATTTACATGCTGGAATAAACAGCATTGCTCTGCTCAGCGTAGCAGTTGGGTTGCCGGTTAGCATTTTATTCTTTTTCCTAATGTCACTGTCTGAATATATTAAATAATTGTGTCTCATTTTATTTGTCGAATAACTTGCATAGCTGCTTCGTGTTATAGTGGATGCATGCCCCTCGATCAGTTGTAGTTGTGGATGACTTTATTGGCATTCCTAACTGCACAAACAAATCATACATTGTTCTTTTCTTTCTGTTGGTTTTTCTTCACTTGTAACAATTCTGGTCATAAGTATAATATTTTTCCAGAACATCGGCCATAGATTTGAAACATGGAACACTGGCGTCCTAGGACCTGTTGTCTTACGTGGGGTGGACCACGGATCATGGGACTTGTCGAGTCAACAATGGTCTTACAAGGTTATTCATTTGTTGGTGAAAGCACATTATGGTTCAGTTCTGTTAGGTATTGTTCCTTTTTCTCATCTACTGATGAACTGCGACTTAGATATATATATATATATCTATATGCGGGTTTTCCCAGGTTGGACTGAATGGAGAAACGGCGAACATCGTGTCCCCAAGCCAAAGTTCTTCTGTTGACTGGATGAAAGGGTCTCTTGCAGCCAAGCAACGTCAGCCTCTTACATGGTACAAGGTTCGTACGGATTTACCCGAACTAACTTATTAATTGCAGACTATTAATGTTGATTGGTTATTGAGCTGAAAGGCTTCTTGGCCTGGTCACAAACAATATATAAGCAATACAAGTTGATTGTTGATTCATTCAAAATCATTGGTTTAATATGTATAATTGGATTGGATTGCATTGCAGGCGTACTTCAATGCACCGGTAGGGAATTCGGCGTTGGCATTAGACCTGAGCAGCATGGGGAAAGGGCAAGCATGGGTGAACGGGCAGAGCATTGGGCGATACTGGAGTGCTTTGGCGAGAGGGCACTGCAGCGGAGAGTGCAGCTACGCAGGGACATATCGGCAGGGGAAGTGCCAGCACGGCTGCGGAAAGCCTACTCAGGCATGGTACCATGTTCCTCGGGCATGGCTCAAGCCCACACAGAAGAATATGCTCATAGTTTTTGAGGAAATCGGAGGTGATGCTTCCAGGATCTCTCTGCTTCAGAGATCCATCAAATAAAATGTACATATACATACATACTTACTTACTTCACCACTGCACTGCTGCCTGCTGCCATGCCATGCCATCTCCATCTCCATCTCCATCTCTGTATGTATGTTACTATGCATTGTGGTATATTTATTTATTGGATAGCCTAGCTAGCTAGCTAGCTAGGTTCACACAAAGTAAAGGTGATATGAATACGAATACGTATATATATACCGTTTGATTGTGTTCAAGTTAGATCGTATGATTATTACAGGACTAACCTTGTCCTGTAATTTTGCATATTATAACTTATATTTGAATTTTGCTGTAGAATAATATACTATGTTGCATGAATATGGATAGAAGGTTGTTTATAATTTGTCTATCAATATTTGCTATGTTATATGCAATAATATGTTAAACCAAAACAAGTGGTTTAAGGGATGCTTTGGAAATTGAATTAATGTCTATAATAATATTTATATTTAGAGAGCAAATACTTATACTATAAACATATTATATCACGCTAAATATATTTAAAAAATTAAAATATTATTACGTTTAAAATGACATATTAGTAGTTTAGCACATTATAGATAAAAAATAATTACACTATAACGAGGATATTTCATTACACAACATGCAAATTAAAATATTAACATATCACATTTAAAATAAACATTATTAGTTTAACATATATTTATATTATAAATAGCAAATTATTACACTATAACAAACATATTTCACTACACAATAAGCATGTTACATAATTAACATATTATTATATTTAAAATAACATATTATTAGTTTAGTACATATTTATATTATAGATGGCAAACAATTACACTGTAATAAGTACTCGCTCCGTCCATTAAAATTAGCGCAATTGAGTCTGACACGAAAATTAAGAAAAATAAATACTCCCTCCGTCTCACAACAAGAACATCGTTTGCTTTTTGCACGTAAATTTTTTAATATTTGTATTATATTGGTTTGTAGTAAAAAAGACAAAAATGTTCCACAATGTGTTATAAAAGTGATGACATTTCTGTAATATATTGTAAGTTGTAAGTGTATTTATTATGTTAGGTAGGTAGTACGTATAGTTACTAAATTAAGAAATAGTACCCTTGTTATGGGACGGAAACAAATAGAAAATTGTATCCTTTTTTACGGGACGTGAGAGTATTTTATTGTAAATGTGATAGGTATTTTGGGTATTTTTGAAAATTTAGTTAAAAATTAAAGTAAATAAAGATAGAAATTGTAATAAAGTTACTGGTATTAGTGTAAATAAACGTTGAATGAAAGGTAATAATTAAATATTGATTTGTTAATTTTGTCAAAATTAATAATAAGGTAAATTTAGCGTACCGACTAAAAAAGAAGGTGAAAATAAATTTGGCGGCGGTGGAAGCATATTTTATCACACAAGTATATTGAAAAATTAACATATTATTATATTTAAAATAGTAAATTATTAAATTAGTACATATTTATATTATAGATAGCAAATTATTTCACTATAATGAGCACATTGCAAAATTAGCATATTGTTTAAAATACATTATTATTTATTAAATAAAAATATATATTTCAAAACGTGCACGGAAGAAGAAGACAATTGTTGAGATATTGCATTGTTTTTTTATTATGAAACAAATAAAAAAAATGTCATTGGAAAATCAATACCACCGTCCGGTTTCTCTCCTCGTAAGTTCCGCTATTGTGCTGATTGCCCTCCATCTATCCAAAGATTGACGTTAGAGTTTTGCAAAGTACAAAATCAAAATTGAAATCCGGCGGGAAAGAAACCTTCCATTGAGAAATCAACACCATCATCCTTTTGGGTAATCCGGAGGACTTTCAAAGATTATTTTCTCTCTCCATAATTTCCGCCATCGTGCTGGTTACCTTCCATCTCCGACAAAGATCGACAACGGAGTTTTTGCAATGTTAGAAACTCTATAGTCGAATGGATAGATTTTGGGTTACACATAAAGTAGTTATTTTTTTGGTAAATATTACTAGAAGCTTTTCGCTCGTGTTCAACAAGATGGATTTGTTTAGACACAAATTAGAATTTTTTATTTGAGAATTTTTTTTATCGATCTTAAGAAAAAAAAAATTGGAGAATCATTGAAAGTTTGTTATTATCTATCCTTGTGTGGGTTCATTGCATAAATAAAATTCTTAAAAACATTTTATATTAGTGGTGATGAAAAATCATTATTATTATTTTTTTATGTAGGATTGATTGGTTTGGATGGAAAGAGAATAATGTGAAGATAGCATTGGGTTAATTTAATACTGATTTTCATTTTTTTTTTTCCTTTTTTTATTGACATTCACATGATTATCATACATTAATTGAGTTCCATGGTTGATGATTTCTCCTTTTGAAAATTGAATTGTTGGTTTAAGCACGATAGTCTTGTGGCAAGGTTTGAAGACCAAATGGTTATCCAGTCATATGTTTGGGATAATTATCTAGCTTATAAAAGAAAGATTCCTGCAAAATGTTCTTGTATAAATTGGTTAAATTAGTTTCTCTATAAATTATATAATTTTTATTTGATTAGTAATGATCATCAGATAGACATCTTTTAATAAATTCAATCTTACTTTGAGATACATTCCAGACTTGACATTTCAATAGAATTATAAAGTCAATAAATTGTGTAATGACTTACTATTGTGTGATGACTTGCCTAATTTAAGCATATATTAGGCTTAATAGAATGTGGATGATGCCAAAATAATGAATAACATAAATCTGGAGAAAGATGTTATAGTTTCCATCATTTGAACATTAGAAATCTGACCATGCAAAGAGTAGAATCATTGCTTATATCATGTACTCCTAAAGATTGCATTGAGTTGCTTTTGCATACTGGTGTTGATATTATGAGGAAAAATGTTGTGATGATTGGTAAAAGTAACATTGTTTGACATTTATTTTTATATATTGTATATATAATTATAATTGATCTTAGTCCAGTACGTTTAGATTAGTGTGTAAAAATATTATATTCATGTACTCTAATTGTACAATTAATTATATAATCATATTTTTTTCCCTAAGTTACTGAACAACAATATTTTATTCATTTATGGGCAGAAGTATCATGCTAAAGTGACTATTCTTCATCAATTTACTAAAAACTCAGAACAAATTTTCCATGAAGTTGATATCTTAATTGCAGCGGCAAAAGTATCCAATTTGGTCCGTGATAGTTGGTTAAAGCTAGACGCAATTGTTGTAGATTTTTAAAGGTGTAATCTTTTTATTTTGATATGATGTCCATCAATAATTTCTTTGTAATTACTTTTGGCGTGCTAAATATAATGTAATATTATATGTAAATATACAACAATAAGAGTGTTGTTGCATTGAAGCTCTTTTGTAAATTTGATGTATTATGGTAGATGAACGGAAATTATGGGTATATGATGATGGTCTTTTATATATGACTTATTGACAATAGAAGTTTATGAAAATGTAACAAAGGTACATCGGAGCTATTTTTTAAAATGCTTCTGAGTGATTGATATTTGAGTTTGCGAGTGTGCGACAATTTGGATTATTATGTTATGGGTTAAATATTTTAGAAAAGATGTGTTTGTTCTATTACACAAAAAACACTTGAACTCCTAGTAGTAGATTACAACTTGTGTTTTCACTTGAATGTTGTTGTGTGTGTTACGGTGTGGATTACGTAACAGGTCTAGAGATTTTCAATTCGTGGCAGCAATTATTTACTCTAAAAACCAATATAATTTAACTTAATCATTTATGACTTGTTTAGTTATCTACAAGTAGAGGTTGGACTATAATTGCACATATACCACACAATATAACTAAGTTATCTCTGACTTATTTAGTCATCTATAGTAAATATATATTATTTATTTTTTCATACAATTCAGGGTGTCGTGGGAATACTATTGCGATGAATTTATCATTAGTTACCGACAATAAGTGAATATTTTGAACAAAAAATGGTCTGTTTTCCAAGCACAGGTTATCAGAGTACATATACTCGTTACTAAAGCATATAACATTAGTATTATAGGTACGTAAGATCTGTGACAAGGTATGTCGCTATTTAATGTAGGTATGTAAATATGTGCTTCGGGTATAAACACCGACATTCAAGGTATGAATAATAATTGCTTAGGTATTTTTCCTTGTAGTAGCAAGTATTCGTGAATATGGTTGATTTTAGTTGATCCTATGACGGAGGGGCCAATTCACAAACTTGGTGAGAGTACTTCCTCTCCTAGCCTCATTGGAAAATTTTAGGCACTATATGTTTATATTCGACAGCTCATGTCATACTTATCAATGGCACGACCACAAAACATGTATGAATAACAAGAAAAAACATAATTTAACTAAGTTATTTTATGACTTGTTTAGCCATCCATAATAAATGTGTTGTTTACCTTTACATACAATTACGGAATTCACGGAAATATTATAATGATGAATTTATCGCTGTTTACAGACAAAAATTAAATATTCTGAACCAAGAATGGTTTGTTTTCCAAGCACAGGTTTCCAGGCATAGATAGTAGTTACAATAGCATATAAGATACTAGTTCCGGGGTATATTGGTAAACGACTGAGGTACCCGTTGATGCTAACCTGTGTGAATGAATGCCATGTTATAATATTATGTCGTTCCCATAGTCTTTGAAATCTATTATTGTGAATGCAATTGGATAGAGTATTAGTAGAATAATACTCCTTATTGTTAAACTGTACAACCATTGCATATGCATTATAACTAAGTACTACCCTTACCAAGAACACAACTAAGTAACCCTATTGCCTATTGTTCACCCATATGGATCATGTTGTTAACTTTTCTAAATAAACTTTTTAATCTTCTAGATTGGTATAATTGACTATGTTAAAGATTAATATATCTCATGTACGGGTTTTGCTAAAGATAATGTTATACTTCTCTTAATGTTCGTGATATGAAGTATTAGACCCCTCGAGCATAAGTAACTTAAACTTCGGATATTTGCTAGCTTACTATAGGTATATAATTAAATAACTGAGGCCTGTCGTATTTGACAAGAAATACGTATCAATGTGATGAGGGTGTAAACCTTCGAAATATATGTATATGTTTTTGTTTCTTAGGTGTACCACTAATGTAGTAAGGTATTCGTATATGCATTTCTGTTCATTGCAAGCATTACTTCAACCATTGCAAGTTCTTGTAATGAATTGGTT